CCCAACTATAGCAGCCAAGGGATGAAAGCTTTAAACCCGGCAAGTGACATCATACAGGTTGCTTCCAGTTCCATTCGGAATCGAGGACTGGATGTTCCCCGATCACCTCCTGCTGTCAGTAATACAGCGGTGAGCTTGTTTTTACCCCTCGAGGACCAGGACAATGACAAACATACCTTGGTAGACAAGGGGTTAAAGAAAAACTTTATCAGTCTCTTGTGGCAACACTGGGACTGATCATGTGTTTAACGAACCAGACCCTCCTACCAATGGCAAGTTGTTTCCATATCTCCAGAACAGAACTGGAGCCCAATAGCATTCAGCTTCAACGGAAGGCCCAGACGCAGCTGAAAGTACTCCTCCAATTGCTACAAAAGTTGCTATCAGGTAGGGTGGTCCTGTGTCTCCAGCCACTCACCTGTGTTACCAGCCCTGAGACTTCTCCAGCCACTTGCCTGTGTTACCAGCCTTGACTCTTCTTCAGCCACTTGCCTGTGTTACCAGCCCTGACTCTTCTTCAGCCACTTGCCTGTGTTACCAGTCCTGAGACTTCTCCAGCCACTTGCCTGTGTTACCAGTCCTGAGACTTCTCCAGCCATTTGCTTGTGGTAACAGTACTGAGATTTCTCCAGCCACTTGCCTGTGTTACCAGTCCTGAGACTTCTCCAGCCACTCGCCTGAGTTACTAGCCCTGAGACTTTTTCAGCTACTTGCCTTTGTTACCAACCCTGAGATTTTTCCAGCCACTCGCCTGTGTTACCAGCCCTGAGACTTCTCCAGCCACTCGCCTGTGTTACCAGCCCTGAGACTTCTCCAGCCACTCACCTGTGTTACCAGCCTTGAGACTTTTCAAGCCACTCACCTGTGTTACCAGCCCTGACATTTCTCCAGCCACTTGCTTGTGTTACTAGCCCTGAGACTTCTCCAGCCACTCACCTGTGTTACCAGCCTTGAGACTTCTCCAGCCTTTGCTTGTGGTAACAGTACTCCACCTGTGTTAAAAGTCCTGAGACTTCTCCAGCCATTTGCTTGTGGTAACAGTACTGAGATTTCTCCAGCCCACTTGCCTGTTTACCAGTCCTGAGACTTCTCCAGCCTGTGTTACCAGTCCTGAGACTTCTCCAGCCATTTGCTTGTGGTAACAGTACTGAGATTTCTCCAGCCATTTGCTTGTGGTAACAGTACTGAGATTTCTCCAGCCACTTGCCTGTGTTAAAAGTCCTGAGACTTCTCCAGCCATTTGCTTGTGGTAACAGTACTGAGATTCCTCCAGCTGTTTGCCTGCTACCAGACTTAGCTCAGATTTCACTATGAAGTATGCAGTCTGTGAGGATAAGCATAAGTATCTGTTTGTATATTGTACTGGCATTTTAAAGGGACTAGTTGTCATGGTCAGGGATCAGGCTCTAAGTCCAGTAGCTATGGCAGCAGAGACGCTACCACTGATCAGCCAGATGAGTACACAAGCAGGTCAGCCTGGACGTTGATGCAGGCTCACATGAGGTGTGGAGTCTAAGCAGTAACCGATATTCATAAGAGCTACTGATGGTGGAGATGGGTTTTGCTGCTTGTTAGTACCAGGTCGCGGCCCTCAAGATCGCCCAACCAGGAGGTGAGCAAGCCGGGTCCAGTAGCAGATTTAGCAGATAGGGATCAAGCAGTAGTGTAGTCAGTAAACAATCCAAAGGTCATTAACAAGTGGTTGCAGGTCAGCATCAAGCAGAAGCATAGTCAAATAAGACGAAGATCGTTAACAAGTGGTAGCAAAGATACGGATGGCAGCAGGAGTGACAAGAGCAAGATATTGGATGGAGAGAGTGCAATCATCTGGCAAACAGGAAGTGCAAAGGCATGGCTTAAATAAGAAGTTCATTGGAGGAGCAAGGGGTTCAAAGTTCAAGAGACACAAGGTAAGGGAGCAGTTTAGCATCTCAGGTGGCTCAACTAGAAGCTACAGGAAATGCAAAGGCATGGCTTGAATAGGAAGTTCATTGGAGGAGCAAGGGGTTCAAAGTTCAAGAGACACAAGGTAAGGTTGTCCAAGGAATCGGTCAGGGAGCAGTTTAGTATCTCAGGTGGCTCAACTAGAAGCTACAGGAAATGCAAAGGCATGGCTTGAATAGGAAGTTCATTGGAGGAGCAAGGGGTTCAAAGTTCAAGAGACACAAGGTAAGGTTGTCCAAGGAATCAGTCAGGGAGCAGTTTAGCAACTCAGGTGGCTCAGCTAGAAGCTACAGGAAGTGCAAAGGCATGGCTTGAATAGGAAGTTCATTGGAGGAGCAAGGGGTTCAAAGTTCAAGAGACACAAGGTAAGGTTGTCCAAGGAATCAGTCAGGGAGCAGTTTAACAACTCAGGTAGCTCAGCTAGAAGCTACAGGAAGTGCAAAGGCATGGCTTGAATAGGAAGTTCATTGGAGGAGCAAGGGGTTCAAAGTTCAAGAGACACAAGGTAAGGTTGTCCAAGGAATCGGGCAAGGAGCAGTTTAGCATCTCAGATGGCTCAGCTAGAAGCTACACAGGAAGTGCAAAGGCATGGCTTGAATAGGAAGTTCATTGGAGGAGCAAGGGGTTCAAAGTTCAAGAGACACAAGGTAAGGTTGTCCAAGGAATCAGGCAAGGAGCAGTTTAGCATCTCAGGTGGCTCAACTAGAAGCTACAGGAAGGAAATGCAAAGGCATGGCTTGAATAGGAAGTTCATTGGAGGAGCAAGGGATTCAAAGTTTAAGAGACACAAGGTAAGGTTGTCCAAGGAATCGGGCAAGGAGCAGTCTAGCATCTCAGGTGGCTCAGCTAGAAGCTACATCACTAGACACAGCAGAGGTTGCAGGTTCAGATTCAGGTCCTGACACCCTCCCACTAATGGCAATCACTGTATCTCTAGGACAGAAACAGGCATACATTGATGCTTGCTAACATCATTGCAATAATTACAGCTGCCCTGGAGAAGATTAATTGTTTCTTTTCTAGCAAAGTGTTATTGTTGGTAAATACTGGAAGAGTGAGTCACGCGCTTCTCCTACCTCTCCCGCAATGAGACAATAGACCCGGTTTACTGAACCAATGAACAGGAGCAGGAATACATTGTTAGGTACGGTATGTTTAGATTGGGGGCCATATTAACCCATCTAGCTGATTATCTGAACCAATGGTTGTGAGAAAACTCCCAGCACTGACATCAAGCCTTGGGTATGTGAGTGGCAGCAAAGATCTTGCAGGGAGTGCGGTTGGGAACACCATTCCTGCCCAGGGGCGGTCTGACCATTCCTGCACTCGGGCACTGCCCGAGGTTCTGGGGTCAGTAGGGGGCCACATGATATGCCCCTAGTACCTTTCATAGGCTTTTTTGGGTGTGGGTGAGGACACAGGGGCCCCATGATCCCCTATTGCCAGGGAGCCCCATGAGTTGTCAGTCCACCTCTGTTCCTGCCTTACAAAATAGGCAGGCAAAAGGGGTTCCGAGATAACAAGATACAGACGACAGAAAGATGACCAAAAACTGAACCACTAAGCATGCTCTGTGCATCTCGAAGTTTATCTTTCAGTTTTGACTGGAGTGACCATTATTCCCCACATGTAGGTTGTGTTTATTGGCTCCAGTTAGGGAGAAGATGGACCCCAACACGGCCAGACCAAATTTTCATTCAAAGATCTACTGGTGCACAATTATCTGTAGCTGTATGCACCTTACAAAAATAAAAATGTACGCATTATACGATGATCTCTGATTTCAAGTCGATTCTCTCCGCAGGCAGTAAAAAAGGCTTTGCTCAGCAATGCGTAGTGTGAGCCCCTGGAGCACTGCAGGTTCCTATCATTCCAAATATCACTAATTACATCAGGACTGTTCGGCAGGTTCTAAAGAAAACCCCCAGGACTGTTTTGCGCAGATGACAGACAGGACAGGGTGGTTGAACCAGCCCGGTGTGCGAGGCTGTGACATTAAACAAGCGGCTCGAAAAAAGGGTTTGTTTCTGCTCTATTCCGTCTGTTATCACTTCCATATTACACTTCGGATAGTGGGGCATCGGGTGATTTTTCCAACCTGTCCTTTCCCATACTTTGGTCACTCCAGGCAACAAATAAAATCAATCAACGAGCAATTGACGCGGCTCAGGCAAACACCACAGCTGTTTTCACGTCAAGAAGTTCACTCGGTGCACTGTTTCTTCTGAAGCTGAATTCAGAAGGCTTTTCACAGTGCTTTTGGCATGACTATGCGGTGTACGCCCCCTTTCTCGATGTTTGTGAAGGTTCTCCTTTATCCAGGTCTTGGTATGTCTTGTAGTAGTTGGTCACATTCAACCGAACCAAATATGTTCCATAGCTTTTCAAAGCCACTTCCTCAGCACTGAAAGCTTTGAAATGTCTTCAATATTACAAAACAAGTCCACTGTGACCCTAAATGCTGCTTGGAGGCCCGCCCAGGCTACCATAGTCCTGTGAGGTGGATTCCGCTGTGAGGATGCAGTCAGGGAGTCCATCCTGGCTTAAAGCCCGCTGTGGAAGTTAGAGGATGTTCTGGCAGCCTGGGCTGGCCCCCAAGCAGCATTCAGGATCACAGTGGACTTGTTTTGTAATATTGAAGATATTTCACACCTTTCCGGGATGTACAATTAAAAGTAAAAGCAGCTTCAGCTCGCTCCATTCAGGCCATGCATACAACGTGTTTCGTCCTAGAAGTTCCATGATTAAGCCCTGTGGGGAGAAGGGCTGCAAACATCTTGTTACTTCTAGAGAAACATCCTCTTCCACACAGAACATATCTAGTTGAATGTGACTTCTACTAGATACATTAGGGAGATGTTCTTAAGCCTCTGGGAGAAGCTAGCCAATGACGACCTAGACAGCTATATATACCAGAGAGGTTCTCACCCTTCCCTACTTTATCGGATAGAAGTTTTGGATGGAATTTCTCATTAAGAACACATCAAAGGCTATTTCGACAGTAAAATTCGCTAACTTTTCATGCTTGGTTGGATTGTGTCTTTAAGAAGCTAAAGAAATATCCTTTCGCATTAGACTAGAGCAGCTATTCTCAACCAAGGTTCTGTGGAACCCTAGGTTTCCTACAAAGGTTCCTAGGGGTTCCTTGAGCTGTAGCTGATTGGCTTCCTATTTCATGTTTGCTGCATGGTTCTTGGTAAAGCCAGCAGTATGACTCCAAAGATCTGTAAGCGGTCTGTAAGGGTGGCATTCTGAGCACCACTGTAGGGGGCCTAACCCCCAATAATATAATTTTAGCAAGGGTTCCTTGAGACCGGAAAATGACTTCAAGGTTTCCTTTGGGGTAAAAAGGTTGAGAAAGACTGGACTAAAGTTTTCAGCCAATCCACAATGGACCACATATCATCAGATGTTTCGTCAACAAAGTACCAAACATCTGCTTCTTTCTAAAATAGTCGCCGACACTGTGAGATTGAACAATATCATGAATGGGTCTTCTCCTTTTTTGCTAACCTTCTGTATGGATTGTGCAGATGCTTGAGAGCAATACTGGTTTTGAGCCATCTTTTTTTTGTCTAAAGCAGCAATTCTTTACCAGAGTTCCGTAGAACCCTAGTGTTCCTCCAAAGGTTCCTAGAGGTTCCTTGAGTAATAAGCAGTCTGTGCCTCTCAAATAAGTTCCCACTGATCTCAATGAGCTTTTTATCTATCTGTAAGTGGGGGATTCTTCCCATTGACCTTAAATGAAGGAGTATTCTTACCACTGACCATTCCATCAATGTACAGTTGTAGACACAGTAATTATTATCAGGGGTTCTCCTGAAACCAGAAAATTATTTCAAGATTTCCTTGGGGGAAAAAAGGTTAAGAAAGGCTGGTCTAGGGTCTTCAGCCATTCCACAACACACCACAGATCATCAGATGTTTTCGTCAACAAAGTTCCCAACATCTGCTTCTTCTTCACATAATCGCCAACACTGTCAGATAGAACCTTGTGGTGAAGGGGTCTTCTCCTTTTTTCCTAACCTTCTGAATGGATTGTGCAGATACTTGAGAGCAAGAATGGCCTTTGATCCTTCTTTAATTTTTTTTTTTCGGCTAAAAGCCTTTCTCAACCAGGGTTCCGTAAACCCTAGTGTTCCTCCAAAGGTTCCTAGATGTTCTTTGTGTGATAAGCAACTTCTGCCTCTCAGATAAGCTCCCACTGATCCACAATGAGCTTTTGAGCTATCTGCAATTGGGGGGTTCTTCCCATAGACCATCCCATCAATATAGATAAAGTAATTATTCCCCGAGACCAGAAAGTTTTTTTTAAGGGTTCATCTGTATTGAGAAGGTTGAGAAAAGCTAGTTGTAAGGTAGGAAGCCACAGCTGAAGCTCTTGTGCTGGTGCAAATATTGGTAATTCCATTGTCTGACTTATTTTTCGTGCCAGGGTACTAGGTGTAATCCTAGACTCCCATCTGTCATTTCAGCCCCAAATCCAATCACTGTCCAAATCTTGTAGACTTCACCTCCGCAACATCGCCAAGATACGCCCGTTCCTAACCCCGGAAACTACTAAGCAACTTATCCACTCCCTTGTTATATCTTGCCTCGACTATTGTAACTCCCTCCTCATTGGCCGACCTCATTGCAGGCTATCCTCTCTTCAGTCTATCATGAATGCTGCTGCCAGACTCATCCACCTTACTAACCGTTCTGTATCTGCCACCCCTCTCCGCCAATCCCTCCACTGGCCTCCATTCAGTGTCCTCCACCCCTCTCTGCCAATCCCTCCACTGACCTCCACTCAGTGTCCTCCACCCCTCTCTGCGAATCCCTCTACTGGCCTCCACTCAGTGTCCTCCACCCCTCTCTGCCAATCCCTCCACTGGCCTCCACTCAGTGTCCTCCACCCCTCTCTGCCAATCCCTCCACTGGCTCCCAGTTGCCCAACAGATAAAATTCAAAACATTAACAAAAACATTTATAACTCTGCCCCAAATTACATCACCGATCTTGTCTCTAAATATCACCCAAACCGTACTCTCCGCTCCTCACAAGACCTCCTACTCTCTAGCTCCCTTGTCTACTTCTCCCATGCTCGTCTCCAGGACTTCTCCAGAGCTTCCCCCATCCTCTGGAACTCTCTACCCCAATTTATCAGACTATCGCCTACTCTGCTCACTTTTAGGCGATCTCTGAAAACCGATCTCTTCAGGGAAGCCTATCCTGCCCTCAGCTAATAATTGGAATCTTCTACTCTTCCAACCAGTCCATCCCCCACAGTTACTACCTTTTGTACCACTAGCCCCTCCCTCCTAGATTGTAAGCTCCCAGGATCAGGGCCCTCCTATCCCTCTTGTATTGAACTGTATTGTTGCTGTATTGTCTCCCTTTATATTGTAAAGCGCTGAGAAAACTGTTGGCGCCATAAATCCTGTATAATAATAATAGTTTAAATCTGCAACATGCAATGGTTTTACCCTGCGACTTATATGTTTTTTCTTATCATTAGGCTGGTATTTTCATGTGGTTTATGTTACATAGTTACATAGTTAGTCCGGCTGAAAAAAAGACAAAAGTCCATCCAGTTCAACTATAGGAAAAAAAAAAAAGTTATAATCCTACACCCACAGTTGATCCAAAGGAAGGCAAAAATAAAAAATAAAAAATCCAGCAAAGCACGTATTTTATAGGTTTGTGCTACGGCCAGAAAAAAAGCAGAGACAAAAGGAAGACTGGAAACATTGAAGAGCAAACAAGATTAAAAAAAGCAAGCACAAGTTTAAAAAAAAAAAAAAGTTTGTACATTTATTCCTTGGCACAGGATTTTACACTGGTCCTGGCTGCCATATGCTTGGAGTGACAATGTACAATTAACTGCCGCCCTACACAAAGGCCCAGCAAGAACAGCAGTTACCCAGCAGGCAGCCTGGTGAAATAAAAGGGGTTTATTGGGATGTGAATAGGGGCTCCTGTGTGAATGGAGACACAGACAACCCCTAGAAAGGTCTGTGTGTTTACACCTTTGTACATTATTGTGGATTATTGTATACAGTAAAGAGAGGGCACTCAGCAGGTTAAGCCGGTCATTGTATAATGGCTGGACTTTAATTATGCACTGTCCGAGAAACAGAGACAAACTGATAAACGCCGGAGTCGCCAGGCTGGGAGACTACTTGCCAAATAAAAAAAAACAAAAAAACAAAAAACCCCAATCTTTACTCCATTTCGGGTAATGTTACATTTTTGGTACTTACAGGAAAAACATTTCCTTTTCTGTGGAAAAAAAGAGAATGACCAGCACTGATAATGGAATCTTCTGATACTCAAGCTTGTACCTTTGTTCTGGGCGAGTGCCTCAAAGCATGTGAGCCAGGCAACCAGCATTTTAAGGCGAAGAGGTCAGCAATGGTATCCTTCATACTTTCTTACTAAAGGTTTCTTTTAATGGGAGCTTCACATTGAATAGTCAGTCTTACCTGCAAAATATGAGATAGATTCCTCACTGGACACACTGATGTGAACGGTTCCGTGCAAGAAGGTCCGCGCTACATTGATCCACTTATATGTTCATAGAAAACTCAATGTCTTGCGCAACTACGGTATTTT